AGGTGGGGATATGGTGAAAGGGGAACCCTCCTACACTGCTCGTGGGAATGTAAATAGGTCCAGACACCATAGAGAACAATATGAAGGTTTCTCAAAGATTTACAAATAGAACTACCCCCAGCAATTCCACTCCTGGGTTTCTACCCATGGGATAGGAGAACACGAGGTCGGAAAAGTGCTTGCACATCTATGTTTATTGTGACATTACTCTCAATTGCTAATAATTGGAACCAACCCAAATGTCTACGAACAGATGAATGGATTGAAAAAGTATGACACATATACTCTATGGTATACTACTCAGTCATAAAAAACAAGACCCTGGTATTTGATAGAAAGTGGATGAATATGGAAGATTTACTACTGAGTGGAGCAAGCCAGGCTATGAAAGAGAGACATTGTATGTGTCCACTTAACATATACCGACTGTCTGCACTCTATGGTGGAAACTGAACGATTAGAGGAATAGAAACATTAAAAATGGTTATAGACTCTGGAGACAATTTGGGAAGAGGGTAACAGAAGGGGGAGAGGGTAAGGAAAGAAATTAAGGAGAAAAATACAGAGGCAAGACATTTACAGAACACAGAAATGGCTTATTATTTGTTGATGATAATGTGTTTTGTATCCTCAACTGGACTGGTGTGAAGTGTGTTCATGTTGGTTAATTTCATCTTACAAGCAAAGTGATATATAGTTATTAAATGTATAAAATTTAACAAAAAGAAAGACATATGTGAAAAACCTATAGCTAACACCATACCAAATGGGGGAAAAGCTAAAAACTTTTCCATTAAAACTGTAACAAGACAAGGCTGCCCACTTTCTCCATTTATTTTCAATATAGTACTGGAAGTCCTAGCCAATGCAATAAGAAAATAAAATAAAATAAAAGGCATTAAAATAGAGAAAGAAGAAGTGAAAGTATCCCTACTTGTAGATGACATAACTATATACATAGAAAACCCAAAAGAATCTATGAAAAAACTCCTGGAAGTGATAAATCAATACAGTAGAAACCGCTACAAGAAAAACTATGAAAATCTACAAAAGAAATTGAAAATGACACAAAAAAGTAGAAGGACACCCCATTTTCTTGGATTGAAAGAATTAATATAATCAAAATGTCAATTCTACTTGAATTAATCTACATATTTAAAGCAATCCTAATCAAATTACCAGAGACATTCTTCACAAATTTAGAAAAAATAATCATGAAATTTGTCTGGAATCATAAAAGACCCTGTATTGCCAAAGCAACTATACACAAGAAGAGTGGAGTAGGAGGCATCTCACTCCCTGACCCCCAAAATATATTACAAACCTGTGATAATCAAAACAGCAGGGCACTGGCATAACAGGCATGTAGACCAATGGAACAGAATAAACCACAAAATATACAGCCAAGTGATGTTTGACAGTGGGCACCAGTCAAACCAGTGGGGAAAAGAAAACCTTTTTAGCAAATGGTGCTGGAAAAACTTGGTATCCAGCTGCAGAAAGATGAAACTCTTCCCCTTTTCTCACCGTTAACAAAAATAAACTAAAATATGGATCAAATATCTAAGCCTAAGACTTCAAACTACAGAACTACTAGTGGATAACACAGGGGAAACACTTAGAGACATAGGTGTAGCCAAAGACTTCTTGAACAAGACCCCCAAGCAAGTCAATAATTCCAAAAAGAGACAAATGGGATTATATCAGATCAAAAAGCTTCTGCACAGCAAAAGAAACAATCATTAGATTGAATCAGCAACCCTCAGGATGGAAGAATATATTTGCAAACTATGCCTCAGATAAGGGACTGACAGCTACAATGTACAGGGAGCTCAAGTGCCTTACTTGAAATAAAAGATCACCTCACTTAAAAGATAGGCAAATGAGCTGAACAAAAAACTTTTTTTTTTGGAGAGTTTTTTGCTATAGGGTGCATGTGCTCACCAGAAAGAGAGAGAGAGAGACAGAGAGACAGAAAGCAAGAAACCACCCCCCCAGGAGGAGGGATGGTCATGCCACAATCCCTTCTCCATTCTCCTGGCATTATTCACAATCACTAAGGCATGGAGTAAACCCAAATGTCCACAAACAGATTAATGGATTGAAAAAGTGTGGTACATATACACTATGGCATACTACTCTGCCGGAAAAAAAAAAAAAAAAAAAAAAAAGGGCTTTGATTTGATAGAAAGTGGACAAATGTGGAAGATTTACTGCTAAGCAAAGCAAGCTAGAATGTGAAAGAGAGGCATTGTAACGTCCCCTAAATATATATCAAATGTCTGCATTCTGTAGCAGAAACTGAAAGATTGAAAGACATAAAAGCATGGAGATCAATTTTGAATACTAGAGATAGTGTGGGAGGGGGTGGAAAATGAGGGAGTATGAGAGGAAGGGAATAAAATAAAGGGGAAAAAGAAAGAAGCAAAACATTTAAGGGACACAAAAATGGAAAATTATCTGTTGATGATAACATTTATGATAATATCTTTAACTGAACAAATTTGCAGGATATTTATGCTGAGAAAATTCATTTTGTATACTGCCATGATATACATTAACTGAATGTATAAAAAATTATATATACGTATGTGTATATATACATATATACCCCAAAAACAAGACTCAAGTCAGATTGAATTGAGTTGCTGTATCTCTTTACCTGCCTTTAAGAAGGCTGAAACATCCTGGCGACAGACAACCCATGGATGTTCTTCTGGTCTTTTATAACATAAAACATACAACCAAAATTTACTCCACACACAGTCATGAGCCACCTACCAATGGGTATCTGTTGGGCAGTCAGGCAAACATTTTCATTACCAACCCTAGGTTTCAATCCTTTGCTTGATAAAACCTATGTATCCCAGAATTTCAAAGTACATAATGTCAATAAGCAATGCTTTCCTTAGGCAACATATGTATCTAGAAATAATTTCTGTCTTTATGTAAGGTTTATACCACTTTATGTAATGAAATTTCTCAGTCCAAATTTAGTGTGACCAGAAAACAAAGGAGATGGATGAAACTGAACCTTTCAGGAGCAGTTAATGATAAAATACTGAGTATTCTTCCCATAACATCAGGAACAAATACTGCCCTACTCCAACCCATTATTTATATGTGAGCTAATGTCACATTTCCTTAGTCTAAAATAAACCATAACAAAAAAATGGAAAATATAACTTTACCTATAAAATGTATTATATCATTATATAAGTATTATATTTACAAATTATCATTCCAGAGCTCTTTTGCATACATTCGAGGAGCAAATGAGTAAATATGGCAATGAAAAATAGTGTTGGACTGAAATTAGTGTTATCAGTGTAAACTCATTATACACATATACAAACACATTTCTATAGGTATATATGTATGCACATTTATATATATGTGTATTAATATATGCAACTATGTATGTGTGTATATATAGAATGTATATGTGTGTGTGTGTTTGTACTTGCTATTTTTCACAATTCTTTCCACTGAAAGGTCCTAGAAGCAATGATGCCCTAGCAGCAATGAGAACCCTAGCACCCAGAAGTTAGATTCTAAATATAATTTCCCACAAGAAGATGCTATTTCCTCTTGGAAAATGACTGATTTCAAGGCTGGATCTAAGTCTGGAATATACTATCATGCTATATACTAAGAAAGCACTCAAAAAATGAGTGTAACATAAAAACAGAAGCCAAATTGAACAGGCTTCCACTAGGCAAATGCAGGAAATGTACAAGCAAAAATTTTAATCAAAATTATTAATGTTATTAATGGATTATAATGCATTGAATAAAATAAGAATCCATTAATATAATTAACTAATTAATTAAAGTTAAGACACTTTTCATACAATAGAATGCTATCTAATAAATGTAGAGGAACACTAGATTTAGAAAAATGACCATTTTGTAGTCACAAATGTTGTTATTCATATGAGAATAATCAATAGTTGCTAAAACTATTGAGTACAAGATGGAAGAGGAACAAAATAGTCACAGAGGATCTCCCTGCAAATTACCTACCAATTATAAACTGACAAAAACAGTAATTTTAGACCAGAATAAACTAGAGGACATAGAAATTAACCAATAATGGGATAAATAGACATCATGTCCCTTTAGTTGCACACTGAGAAAGACATAGTTAATTCCCATGGTATTACTTCTAAAAAAGAATAGGGAAGATATAATCAATGTCATAAAAGACAAAGAACTGTTGAGTTAGTATACCAAATTATAGGCTACAGAGACATGACAACAAATGCAATGCATAATCCTGGATTGAATCCTAAATTAAAGAAAATTGTTATAAAGAACACTGTTAAGATCATTGGAAAAGTGTAAATATGAATACAAATTATAAAATAGTATATGTTAGATTAAGTTTTCTGAATTTATAATTGTAGTTTTATAAAATAATTTCTTTGTTCTAAGGATATACAAAGTGATGTATTAGGAATAAAGGGCTTGATATCAGCAACTAATTTCAAATGGTTCAGGAAAAAAATTACACATACACATACTTGCCTACTTGCCATTTCAACACAATCCATGATATATTATAATGCATTTGCCTAATTATTATCATATTACTGAGTATATTAAACTGATCACCAACCAAGACTCCATCTAGTCAGGAGATTGTTCCCCTTTGTAATGTCAGGCTGGTAAGTGCTAAGAGTTATGAGAAAAGAGGCATGTTTCCCAGCTGTTCCTGGGCTATATCTGTCATCCAGGTAGGGATTAACATTTTGTCACTAGAAATGGGTTGGTCAAATTTTGAAGTATAATACTACAGATACATTTACTTTAGAACTTTCTCAAACCAGACTAGAAATATCCACTGAAATAAAGGATTGTAATTTATCTCCTTAGAGAAAAAAAACTCAACTTTGCACTAATATCACCAATCAACCGACTACTGAATGCACCTTATAACTCTTAGGTGACAATGACCAAGAAGAGAATCTGAATAACTGACCTCCAAGCCCAGGTCGCAGCCGGTTGTCATAGCCATCCAGAAGACGATCCAAGATTCTGGTGAAGATAGTGATATTGTCAGTGCTGTCATCGGGAATATCTGGGGCATGCTTAGGAGACAGTCTGAGGCAATGCAAGGAAGAGAGAAGGAAAATAATGGTGCTTAATAGGAAACAATTAACTATGTAAACATTTTAATTCAAGAAGATTTCAATCAATACACTAGGTCAATCAAATAGTCCTGTATCTGAACCAAAACAGCAAGTACTTCCTATTAGTCACATGATTGCCTGTGTGGGAGGCAGACAGTGGTCAATACTTGAGTTCTTACTTCAGCATTGGCATGCACATTCCTAGATATGTTCCAGCCTACAGGAATCCCAGACAGAAAGTCACTGGGAATAGTACCTGGCATATACTTACTGGATTCATCAAATTTTGTGCATGAATGAACATGCCTCAAAATGAAGAAGGGAAATGTTACTGAAATTTTACCTCTCTTCTAGCCCAGGGAAACTTAAGTGTACAGACCAATAGAGTCAAACTGCCTCTTTGAATTGCAGTCTTCCCCTCTCTCTACCTTATGGAGATAGAGCAACCAAGCAATAGCAGTCCATCAAATGATAAATTCATCATGAAGAGAGTTTCTAAATTCTCTCATTTTATTCATGGGAAAAGAAGCTCAAAGAGAAAATCAAATTTTCACACAGCCATACTGCTAGTGAAAAGCAGAGAAGGACTGTTAAGTGAAATTTTCTAGTGTCCCTCAGCTACCTCCTGCTCCTCTGGTTCAGGTTCCTCTGTAAGCCTTTCTCAGCAATGTGCACTTTGTCAACAATCTAATCAGGACCAGGCCTTGTCAATGATGCTTTCACTTTTTGAAGAAGACCTTGGTGTGGTTTGACAGGATTAGAACAAAGAAAGGCCCTGGGTAGGTCAGAGGAAAAATGAAATAAGCACAGTGAAAGAGATGGCTGTTGCCAAGGGTCAAGAACCATGGAGTAGAATTGTGGGTCCTACTACCAGCTGTCTTTGTGACTTGGGGTAGTCTTTGTGACTTGGGGTAGACTATTCAGCACGTTATGATACTGTATATCTTTGGGTCTCAGTTTTCTCCATTCTTAACTTGGATTCAGGAAGTATGTAATAGACTATGTTTAGCATTCATTTAATGAAGGATATAAAAGTCACAGGATATAAGTTACAAGAAGTTCTGAGATAGCCAATATGTTTTCCAAACAATATTTATCCCTAGCAGTGAGCAAATTTCCTCCTCTGTAAAAACAAAACAAAACCATGGAAAAGATCTGCAGAATAGTAGACATATCTTAATTAGATGTTTCTCACTCCAAACTGCCACTCTCTGATAACCTTGGAAAAGTAATTTTGACCCACAAATGCCTTAATTCATAAAACTGATTCAATTCACTTAATTATTTTTTTTGAGAGGTTTCGCTATAGGGAGCGAGCACACGCCAGAAAGACACAGAGAGACAGAGAGAAAGAAAGCGAGAAATCACCCCCCAGGGGGTATGGCCACACCGCAATCCCTTCTCCTCCATTCTCCCCCTCAGGATCCTGGGTATGCACGCACATGCACCCGGCGTGAGTTTCAGCCACCGGGTCAGGACTCAAACCGCAGTCAACTACATGAGAGTCCAGCGACATAGCCATTACACTAACTGCTGGTCCCAATTATTAATTATTAAGTGCATTTTTATTGACTTAACTATGTGCTTATTACTGTTCTAGGTGTTGTGATAGAGTAAAAACAAAATAAAGTACGACAAAGCAAGTAATCCTTCCCACACTTAATTTACAGGGTTGCTAAGACAATCAAATTATAAAATAGATCCACACAAAGTGATCTAGACTCGAAGAGTCTAGAGACATGCATTTATTAGTTGAGTGACCTTAGGTAGGCCATATATATAACACTTTCAGTAATAGCTTTAGCATCTTTAAAATTAAAATAACTTCATAAAGGACCACCAAATGCTGTAACGGTTATGTTGCTGGACTCCCACGTGAATGATTATTGTTCGGGTCTCAGAACCAGCAGCTTCAAATTCACACCAGGCACCTATGCATGCATGCCCAGAATCTAGAGGGGAGAATGAAGAAGGGATTGCAGTGTGTCCATCCCCCTGGGGATGATTTCTCTTTTTCTGTCCCACAGTGTCTCTCTGGTAAGTGCACACACCCTATAGCAAAAATATCTCCTAAAATATAATAACTTCACAAAATTAAAATAACTTCACAGATATGCTGTGTTAATATGAAATTATACATATATCTATAGATAGATAGATAGATAGATAGATAGATAGATAGATAGATAGATAGATAGATAGATATAGATAGATAGATACATATGTAATTTGGAGAGGTTTTTGCTATAGGGCACATGAGCTTGCTAGAAAGACAGAGAGAGACAGAAAGCGAGAAATCAACCCCATGGGAGATGGTCATGCCGCAATCCCTTCTCCTCCATTCTCCTCTCAGGATCTTGGGCACGCATGCACATGTGCCTGGCATGAGTTTAAGCCACCGGGTCCAGGACTCAAACCGTGACTGACTACATGGGAGTCCAGCAATGTAGCTGCTGGTCCCTGAAATAATATATTCAAGTTGTCAGGCTCAATGTTTGATTTGGAAGTATTCAAAGTTTGTTTTCTCCTTTTTTAAAAGAAAAATAAAACATGCTTATTTATAATTTTCTTTAATGAGAGAGAAAGAAAGGGGTACTGTACCCTCAAGGGGATCCAACCATGCTATAATCCTTCCTCCAGCCTCCAAGGCAGCCAGGATTACAGGTACATATGGGCACACCTGGCATGTTGAACCCAGGATCTGAACCTAGGCCTCCCATGTGGCTCCAATATCATATAGCAGTATTCTACTTCCTATGCCACTGCGACTGAGTTTGGTTTTTCATTTAGAGTAGTACCTTACACAGAAAATTTCATTATTGAAATGTAAATATTAATAGTAAAAAATTGGCATCTCCATCAGCCAAAAACAATAAGGAAAACTTCAGCCAGAGTGGCACTGGAATCTAGTCAAGAATAGAGCTAACTGACCAGTTTAGTCGGCGGATCACAAGAAGTGATACAGATGTCTTACTGGGAAGGGGGAGAAAGAAGGGAACTTCAGTACAGAGCTAACAAACTGATATCAGTATGCTGAAGAGATAAATCTAGCTGCCTGTCAGGTGACAGACCACCCTAGGTTTAATCCATCAGTGTCCTAAATCCACATGACCTGGGCTGTAGAAGAAAGGCTGTGAGAACTCGTGATTTTTGTGCAAACATCTTTCTCCTTATCCCTTAACTCTCACTGTGGTGGATCTTGATCCTAATTAGCCTAATTCAGCCTCTGGGAAACAGGTCTAGGAGCTGAATTTTAGAAAAGAAAGAAGAAAAAAGAAAAGAAGGAAGGAAGGAAGGAAGGAAGGAAGGAAGGAAGGAAGGAAGGAAGGAAAGAAAGAAAGAAAGAAAGAAAGAAAGAAAGAAAGAAAGAAAGAAAGAAAGAAAGAAAGAAAGAAAGACAGAAAGAAAG